CTCGCGTTTGAATCATCAGTGGCAAATTATTTAAATATAAAAAAACATACTTACTGTCTGTGAGTCAGAAGCGCCAGACTGTCCTTGCAAAGTTGGAACTGCCCCACTTTATAGAAACAGCCTTTGTGCCACAGACGCGCATTGTAGGCTACTGGTTCAGGAAACAGTAGCAACTTTACAGATCTTCTTTATGAACCAAGAGCTTGTAACACTCCAAAGAGAAAGTAAAAATTGAAATCGCATCATATGACCCCTTTAAAAATGTGGGAAAAGCACATTTGAGAGATGGCAGTAGAGAGGACAGGTGAAGCTTGCTTTCCCTAATAAAATATTCCTCTCACACATGCAGTGTTTTCATAGAGGGGCTATATCAACAACAATCTCCCGTCCAGAGATTTCTTTCCCTTTAAGCATCACCACAACCGCCAATCACAAGGCTGTCTGGTTTTGGCTGTCCTCATGCATGAGATTCTGTTTGAGTTGAACCAGACTCCCAGCCACGTTCTGCTCTTCATCTCTGAGGAAGAGTGAGATGAGATGAAAGACTATTTGATTTGAATTGATATTTCGGAGTGCGGCATATGAACCATGTCTCTCATCATGTCCTGCATTTGCCCTTATTAGTTTTAATTCATTCCATTTCTTTTGATGTCAGAGGTCTGTATGGACATAATATACTGGAATATACGATCAGATATGCACATAATGTACAACATTGTGATGATAGTTATGAGATGTTCAATTTAGAACTAGAATTTTAAAGTACATACTGTTTTAAAGGTCCCATATTGTCAAAACGGAAATTTCCTGGCTTTTTTCATGATAACTGAGGTCTAGGTGCTATGTAACTACCATATAAGTTTCAAAACAGTCAGTCCACAGTAAAATTCACACAGCCTGCTTAAAGTAGCTGATATATTCTTAAGGACATCAAAACCTAAAATAAAACTCCAGAAAGGTGTAAAATATAGGACCTTTAAGGTCTTTGAATGGATTTTAATGAAGATTTTGGATAAATTCGTGTTCTGAGGAGAAAATTATGTTAAGAAATCACTTTGTATGTCTAAGTACACTTTAGATGGAAAAACAAACGGTTTAGAACTTCTTCAAAGCTAGTGTAGAATGGTTACATAGCAAAGCTTTGAAGATTAAACCAAGTAAGTTGGTTTGATCTAGTTCTTGGCACTAACCGATCTAGTCCATTACCTTATGGCTGTTCATTACTGTTTCTTTTTTATTATAAGGGGCTTGATATTATTGTTATTTTGTTGTTGTAAGTGTGTGTGTATTTGTGTCTCTCTGCAGTACATGAGCAATGTGGACTCATGGTGTAAAGCATGCGGGGAGGTGGATCTGCCCTCTGAGCTACAGGACCTAGAGGACGCCATCCACCATCACCAAGGCCTGTATGAGCAGATCACCGCTGCCCACTCTGAGGTACCGAGCCGTGTCTCTCGAAATCTCTAAATTGCCAGGCACTTTTGAAAAACCATTTAAGGGTACTGATCCCAAAGTAAATGGTACTTGCACATTATAGCAATTACAGGCACGTCTAAAGTGGCAATTTTAGCTAATTATATTTATTATAAAACGCAGTGCTATGAAGAGTTACAATGCATGTGACAATACAACTTCATTTAGTCTATTAGGTTTGTGCAATTGTTTTCTCATCATTGTCCCGCTCTTTCCCAGGTGAGCCAAGATGGAAAAGCCTTATTGGACAAACTGCAGCGCCCCTTGACCCCTGGCAGCACTGATTCGCTGACGGCTTCTGCCAATTACTCCAAAGCGGTGCACCATGTTTTGGACATCATCCATGAGGTTCTGCATCACCAGAGGCAGCTGGAGAACATCTGGCAGCACCGTAAGGTCCGGCTGCACCAACGTCTGCAGCTGTGTGTATTCCAGCAAGACGTTCAGCAGGTAAAACACACACACACACACACATATTCATTCACCTGAAAATACCCCACTAGTCCACGTGGTCCAAGTGTGGTACTGAGAACTACATGTGGCATTTCATAATACCCTTGAGGGACGATTTAAAAAGCATCAAGATGATACAATGGGATGGAAGGATGTGAGAGGGAGATACAAAAGAAAGCAAGTAGAGTCTGCATGAATAGCTGAAAGGACTCCATAGGCAACTGAGCCGTGTTACCAAAGTAACTGTTGTAATTTTTGTTGTCCCTAACATAAAATTTTAGTAGTCAGTATCAGTGAGATCTCCTGATTTTCGATATTAATTTTGATACACACAAAAAAAAAATGTGTCAAAGTATTTTTATTATAGTTTTGGTAATACTTGCAAAGTGATTTTTTTTTAAATAAATGAAATACAATTGCATATAGCTTTCGAATTAAAAAATAAAATTTTTCCATGTTCCATTATTTAATGAATTTGAATAATAATTCAAATCTCAAATAATAAAAATAAACATTTTTCAATATAAAATAATATAAAAATGTTTAAATAAAAAATAATTTCTTGACTAATATAATAAAATAAAACAATTAAATAGCATTGATTTAAAAATACAAAATATTAATATTTTCTGTCTTATACATTTTTTTTTAAATATTTCTGTTTGATTAATATTAATGATGTAATATGACACATAATTTGACAATTTGTGTCCTTTGTAAACACTTGCTTTTTAAAAAAAAAATACCGATAGTAAAGGAAGACTGGTATAGTTACTTTTTATTTCAGTGTCGACTTGGTACTAAAGTACCAGTACTTTTTATACCCCTCAGTGTACTGAAAAGTGCGGACATTTTTTTGTTTTCTGTTTTGGAGATTTCCACATTCATACTTCTGGGCAGGCTTTAGTTTAGCATGTAATTATTGTTACCACTGCCACTTTAATACAGGAGAGAAAACACCACCACAACATCTTGGCTTAACTTCTCTGGGGTTATATTTGTTTACACACAAACAGAAATAGTCACACATAATTTAAAGTCAAGGATAAGCCGCTGCCATAGCGTTATACTAGGCATCTCTCTATTGTACATTGTGTTCAGAGGTTCAGGGCCAGTTTGTTGGTGCAGAGATTGTGGTTTTCTGCAGCGAGGTGTTCGACCGAGAGAATGCAGAATGGCTAATTCTGTGGCTGAGGGAAAGTGTTGCCATGGAAACCACTATTCAGGTGCTGGGGATGCGATGAACTGCAGAGAGGGAGAGCTACACTGTGAACGACACCTTTATGCATAATTTTTTCTGTCTTGGACCCTGCAGCATCACCTGTCGTGGTACCTTGTTTTGACTCCCATTATCTGACAGGACACATTCTCACCTAGAGAAGGACTGGAAAGCTCTGCTGCTGTCTCACATATTAATTTCATTTTTTTCCTCTTGTGTGCATTGTGTGTGTGAGCAGGTTCTTGACTGGATTGAGAACCACGGTGAGGCGTTTCTCAGCAAACACACAGGAGTGGGGAAATCTCTACATCGCGCTCGAGCCCTGCAGAAACGGCATGAAGACTTTGAGGAAGTTGCTCAGGTTCGCCACTCTAAAATCTCCCCTTCCCTTCAAGATTTATTTGATCGGGCTTCACTGTATTTTTCCAATTAAGTCAAAAGCACAGCTAATAAGGAGTCACTAAACATAATATAACACATCTTTCCCAACTATCCATTTTTAACAGTGCTGGGTAGATTACTTACAAATTATAGCATGTTATTGATTACAAATTACATGATGAAAATTGTAGTTAGTAATGTAATCTATTAGATTACTCATTTTAGGTATGGCATTCTGACTACTTTCTTGATTACTCTTAGATTACTTTTTCAAAACTCGTTTATCACAGTTTTGAATAGGAATATTTTATTGATTACAAAAATACAAAGAGAAGGAAAATATATTCTATTCTTTGAGAGTAGAGTGCAACATAGAGTGCATTAAACATCGTGGTTTTTGGGGTTTGTGAAGGAACTGCTGGGTTTTGTGAATTGTTAAAATTAGTGAATTAAATTATAAAAGTGCATCATAAAAAAAATAAGTCATTTCAATATAAAAACAATATTTGAACACTAAAAGTATAAAGATTTTGTTTGTGTATCTGCATGTCAATGTGACCATTAACTAGGGCTGTGCGATTAATCGAAATCGTCATAAAATCGCGATTTGAGCTTGCGCAATTTCTAAATCGCTTTATAGCACGATTTTGCGCCCCCGACATCCCGCAGTATGCTATCCGAACCATTCAGAATGCAGCGCGCCTAAATGGAGCACGAGAACAGAACAGACCGGGCGGGCATACAAACGTAACGCCAGGTTCACACACTCCGTTGGTGGTGCGTATTTTTTCCGCGCCCATGTTAACGGATCAGAGCGTTCACACTGCTCGCGATTGCGGTCAGGCAGTGTGCTCCAGGAGCGGTGCGTCTGCAGCAGTCAAGTTGCGATCGTTTCCGCACGGAGTCTATTTCTGCTGTGCTGCA